TGGAAAGCGATGTGCAGGAGGAGCGGGATCCAAAGAAACAACTAGAGGGACAATAGAGCTAGAGACAGGCAAGTTCGGAAGTGCTTTGCAGCGTTGATAAACAAGAAGAGGAGCAGGGGAAGCGGGAGCAGGAGAGGAAGTAGTGGACGAGATAGCAGAAGGGCTAGTAAGAGGCAAAGTAGAGACCTCAAGATCATAAACAAACTCATCAGGAGAAACATCTGGAGGAAATGGGTCAATGCGAACCAATTCATCCTTGGTAATAGGGACGGGTGGAAGGTATAGTGTAGTAAGGTAGTTTTTCTAAAAAAGTGACATCTCTAGACACATATAGCTTTTTGGTAGCAGGATCATAGCACCGATAACCTTTTTGATTAATGCCATACCTTAAAAAGACACATAGGACACAACGAGAACTAAGCTTAGAGCGCTCCCGTTTAGGAAGGAGCACAAAGCATGCAGAACCGAAAATACGAAGAAGAGAATAATTGGGAGTAACACCAAAAAGACGCTCATACGGAGATGAGCCTGAGAGAAGAGTAGGCATCTGATTGAGAAGATATGCAGCAGTGAGCACAGCTTCTCCCCAGAAAACAAAAGCGACAAAAGATGAGAGCAACAAAGAGCGAGCAACATTAAGGAGATGGCGATGTTTGCACTTAGCTCGACCATTTTGGGCAAGAGTATCAGAACAAGAAGATTGATGAATAGTACCATGAGTAGCTAAAAACTCCTCAAACTCAGACAAGTAATACTCACCCCCCAAATCAAAACAAAGAACTTTAATGGTGGTGGAAAACTGAGTGCAAATCATGGAGTGAAAATTAGAATATATTTTGTAAAAATCAGATTTGCGGGTCATCAAATAAATCCAGATAAACCGACTATAATCATCTATAAAAGACACATAATATTGTGAACCACCCCTGGTAACTATAGGGGAAAGACCCCAAACATCAGTATGAACCAAATGAAAAGGAAAAGAAGAAATAGAACTACTTTTATTAAAAAGAAGAGCAGACATTTTAGCTAGTTTACAACCTTTTCACTCAGAAATATTATCAATGGGAAAACTACCTAAATGTCCAGACCGAAATAACATCCTTAAACGGTCACTTGACAAATGACCTAACCTAAAATGCCAAATATAAAATAACCAGACTTATTGTTTAAACAGAAAAAAGACAACGCAGTAGAAGACACTTCTGGAGGAACATGCAAGCTGTCCAAAATATACAGTTCTCCAACTCTACGCCCAATCCCAATCTGCCTCTTGGATACCCAATCCTGCACAACACAATGAGAAGAAGTGAAAACAACATCAAAACCGGAATTAGATAATTGGCTAATAGAAATAAGATTGAGTGAAAGGTGAGGCACATAAAATACAGGAGAAAGAGACAAATGGGAAGAGGAAATAGAACCAATAGAGTGTGCAAGCATAGAAGAACCATTAGCAGTAGCAATTGTGATAGAAGAAGGGGAGACACAATTGCTAAGGAGAGATGCAACAAGGGTCATATGATGTGAACAACCAGAATCTAAAATCCACGAAGTGTGGATATTACCTGAAGAAGATGAATCAGACAAACCTGACTGAGTGGTAGTCATAGTAGAGACCTGGGACGAAAGATTTGGATTAGCTACCATGAAAGACTTGAACTGCTCAAACATAGACTGCATATTGGAAGACAGCCCATTCTCAGAAGCTAGTGCAGAAAAGGCGGCAAATGAGCGAGATCCCGAAGATGGCGACTTAAAGGATGGTGGACCAGACGAATGACCCTTGGGCTGCAAAAGTTTAGGACAAGCATGTTTCTAATGGCCTCGCTGATGATAGAAGTTGCACTCATCCATGGAAACCTGAGGCTTGGGCTTACCAGTAACCTGAAATAAATGAGATGGTGGGGTAGGCAAGAGCGGAGGAGTGGCAAAAACTGACTGGGAGGTAGGAGCACCATGAGCCACCTTAAACCGAGTTTCTTCCACAATAAGCTGACGAATAGCACCATCACTAGAAGGCAAGGGGGACCGATGAAGAATAGCTCCCCTAAGTGGCTCAAATTGATCACGAAGGGCCATAAGAAACTGAACAAGACGTTGCTTCTCTCGATACTTGGTATAACTGTCAAGTAACTGCAAATCTGATAGTTCCATTAAAGCAAGCTGGTCCCAATAAGTTGTCATCTCATTGTAGAACTCCTGAATGGACTTATCTTTTTTACTACAACTGCGAATAGACATCTCAAGTTCATACTGTTTTGCAAAGTTAGACTTAAGGTACATGGTTTTCAAATAGTTCCCAACTTGTTTAGAAGTGGAATACGTGGAAAAATTCATACCAATGGTAGTTTGAACTGAATTATGAAACCAAGTAAGAATTTGTGCATTTTCCTTATCCCATTTAGAAACATCAGCCTCAGTTTCTTTGGATTCCATAGGTCTAATAGTTACACCAATAAGATAGTTCCACATGCTTTACCCATTATAAAATTCTTCATTACATGGGACCAATAAGAATAATTGGTACCATCTAACTTAGTGGTGATAGCTTGCAATTTATCATCAGCTATATTACTATAACTAAATGACACAGTGAAGTCAAAGCAGAGTGAAAGGCAGCAGAGGAGAGAGAGAGATAAATGACCAGGAAAGAACCAGATATCAGAACAAGGGCTATGAGACAGAGACTAGACGAACCACTTGCCAAAGAAAAAAGTGCGAACCTGAAGGCTGAACCACTTGCTAGAAGAGAGAGAGTGATGTCGATGGTCGATGATGCGAGAGAGAGAAAACAACAGACGTGCGATGCACTAAGATGGACTGAAACGATGGTTGATGATGCGAGAGAGAACCAGCGACAGACCTGCGATGCGAGACTAACCTAGGTTCGATCGTAACTTTGCTCTGATACCATATTAATAAGAATATTGTGTATATTGATTATCAATCAACTGAGTACAATTATATAAACTAATAGAAGAAAACCCTAACAAAATAAAGGACTAAACTATTCTTAATGAACAATATAAACTATTAATATAAACTACAAATTCACAGATGTCGCCTCAGAAAAATTTTGAGTTTGATGATTAATTTGGCAAGGTCAAATCGATACTCTGATACCAAGTTTAAGTGCAAAAATATAAAAAACTTAGATTAGGGTTAGAGAGAAAGAGGGAAGAACAAGGAGAAGTATTTTATTGAACATATGTTTTTAGGCTTATTGAATCAACCTAAAACCATTAGGAAATATGTATATGAAATACAATATAATCATATGACCAATACCCTTACTCCACAAATAATAACAAAGACACATAGACATTCTAACACAGCTTAATAGCTAATCCTACAGACAAAAAACCCACCTGGCTGACATTTAGAAACAGAGGAAATCATGTAGAGAACTAGACGATTTCAAATCTCCCTTAGATACCTAGCAAATAAGACTACCAGCAGGACTAAAAATATTGTAGTGCATAACAAAATCATGCCAATTTCAAAAGTTAATATCCCTTTTAATTTTGCTCTCCCTTTAGTCTTGTTTAGATTGCATCACCAATGATGTTTGAAGCTGAAAGCTCTCTCTCTCTCTCTCTCATGTAAGGCTACCTCTGATACTAAAGCTTAAGGCTCTATTTCGTCCATCAATTAAGTACCAACAAAAAAAAAGATGATGAAGAAGAAAGGGAAAGAAAGCACAACAATAACTTCGTTCAAAGAAATTTGCTTGCTAGAAGCTTGGAGACAAGGTTTTAAATAACGGTGGCGGTAACCAAAATGGTAACGGTAGCATTGACACGGTTGCGGGGTGTAACGTCTGTAGCGGTAGCATTGACCGTAATGGTAACGTCTGTAGTGTAACGGCGGCGGCAACTAGAATCGTGAATTTTTTAATTCTTCGCACAACTTTAGGAAAACATACCGATACACATGTTTTTATTTCAGAATCACGTTTAGTGAGGTTCAAAATGATTTTTAGTATTTTTGTTTAGTTTTAAAATATGATTCAATATATATACTAATTTTTATATTAGTTATAAGTCGTTATGGAGAATTTTCTTGTTGTTGAATTTATTTAATTATCGTTGCTTTATTAATTATACTCATGTATAACTTCCAGTTTATTAAGAAAAGACATGAAGTATGTTCAATATTAAAAATAATAATCTCATAAACATAAGTTCAAAATACAAACATGATAATACAAAAATACATAACATGAAATCTAAATTTTTTCAATAAATTTAACACAAGAGAGATAGATATAAGTTTCTATTAAAATATAATTAGGTGAAAAGTAATGAAAACTTATAGAACTAGAAGATTGGACATTCAAAACATATATAGATAAGATTTTTACATAAGTTCTATGCAACTAGAAAACAAAAAGAGAATAGTATTAATATTATATACAAAATTTATATAAAAATAAATAAATAATTGAAAAATAGAAGCGTAGCAGTTGCAACGGCTATAACGGTGCTGTAACGGCAATGTAACTGTTGTTATGGCCTTTACGTAACGGTTACGACTATTACGGTTGTGAATTTCTGTCATACCGCTATAGCGGCCGTAACGGGTGGTCCACTGTTACGTAACGGGGTTACGTAACAGTTGCGGTTGCTTTTTAAAACCTTGCTTGGAGACCAAACCTTTGATTCATGGAAAATGAGGGCGGAAACAGGTGTTTTTAAGCCTGTCAATCCTTTCTTCAACTCTCTCATCAGGTCTCCTTTCTTAGTCTAAGTGAACTTCTGTTCTGTGAAACCTGAAGTAGTATCTTATGGTTAGTTTGATAGCGAACTTTGTCACTCATTAAAATGGTAAAAAGCGGAGCCTTGATTTAGTGCTTCTATGAGGTATATGCCTCAGTTCATTTGGCAGCAAAGGTGCACCTTTTATGCCTTTATCAATGCCTTTTTATGTCTTAATTTTGAGATGATTTTCTGTAAAGAATATTTATTTTGACATGATATGCTTGATTTGTCACTTAGGTCAGGCATTTTGGACATCCATAATTTCCAAGTGACACATGTTCATTGTCCTCCCCCTCCTTGGTTGTGAGTATATTAAATACCCTATAAATGTTTTATATTGAAAAACGCTCTCAATTTTCTTCTTGTTTCCAATTATTCATTTGTTGTTCGTTCATTTTTGGGTCTAGGGATGGTGAAAATGTTTTCACCAACCTATCATGCTTGAGGAAACCATCATGGCTACCACCATATTCAGTAAGATAATTTACTCATCTTATCATACTGTTCTTATTGTGTGTGTTTTCCCTGATTTGTATCATATGTTTAAAACCTACTGGCGCTTTTGAAACATCTTGTGAAAACAATATAGGTAGTGTTTCACTTTCCCTGCTTCGTCAGAACATATTCACCATTGTGAATATTTTATTTTTACATGCTATTTCTCTCAGAACTACATTTATTAATGTATTACATTGGTGCTGTTCACAATGGAGCTTGTATATAGCATCTGATCAGTTGGTCAAGAATCAATAGAAAAGTGCGTGAAACTCTAGTTTCCTTAAACTAATATTTATGTCAAGACTATCGAATCTATCAAATCTAGTGCAATTACAAAAGAGTAGTAGAACAATCATTCGATCAAGCGCCTATGCTTCATAGTATAACATAGGACGCATCTAGTCAACAATTATTGGTCATTAGAAAACAACAAATATTAAAGGATGTCATGGAAGTGAGAGATAACATTTTTTAGTTTCCTCTCTTTCTCCTTCATGATTCTTAATAGTTTTCCTTTTTTAAATCTAATAGTTCAACTTGTAACTTAGGTGGCTTTTGATAAAGCTGAAAACTGAAGATTGAAAATTAAATATTGAAAATAGAATGCTGAATTTTTTAAGCTGAAAAACTGTTTGATAAAATTTAAGTGCTGAATTAAAAATAAATTATTTGATATGTATGTATAAGATTAAATTTGAAATTTACTGTTTTAAAATTTTATATTTCAATATATATGATGTTATGGCAATGGTAGTGGTAGTGGTAGTGGTAGTGGTGGTGGTAGCGGTAGTGTTGGCGGCGGCGGCGGGGGCGGTGCGATGATGGTGGTAATGGTGGTGGTGGTAATGATGATAGCAGTAGTGTTGATGGTGGTGGTGGTTGCGGTGGCGGTAGCGGTAGTGATGGTAGTGGTAATAAAATGATGGTGGTACTTATGGCGATAATGTCAATGGTGATGAAGATGGTGGTGGTGGTGGTGGTGGTAGTGGTGGCGGCGGTGGCATGATAGTGATGGTTATGGTGGTGGTGGTTGTAGTGGTAGCGGTGGTGATGGTGATAGTGAGTTTATAATAGTGTAAATTGATGATTATGTTTAGCTTATAAAGTCAGTCAGAATTAAATAAGTTTCGTATGAGTTAAAACTTTCTTAAGTTTTAGCTTACATTTTAAGAGGCATTTAAATTTTTAAGTGATATCAATTGTGGTTATCAAACGGGCTTGATTGATTAACACTTAATATATTCAGTTTTAAGTGTTGAATTCATTTTTTTTTTTAAATGCGTGTTGAAAGTGTCCTTAGCGTGTTCTTAAAGTGTCCATCAATGTGCCCAAAATGCATCCCTAGGCCCGCACCAAAATAATACGTTACCCCTAGATGTGCAGTCAACAGTTGTGACTCAACACATTTTTGGCAGAAGCAACTAGTTGTGGGTTCAAGCGGCATTTCACCCCTAACCACAACTCATCCACTGACATCCACTGATTCTTCAACATGAGTCGATCCAAACCTCCACAAAGTTTTACCCAAGCTTCATCCTAGTCGTGGATAGATTACTCACGTTCAGGTCCATAAGCAGTGACTATTGTACTATGAAGACTTGTTTTCGCTATGGCTTCATTGGGTTACCTTAACGAAGTGTGTTTTCAATGAGTCTTCAGTGTGTCCCCACGTATCTCAGTGTTATTAAAGGCGCGCACTGAATCGCCAAGGTGTCCTATTGCCTAAGCACCAGGCGAGACGCAAGCTTCATCGAAGCAAGGGTGTGTGATAGTGGAGGTGGATGGTAGTGGAGTGTGTGGTAGTGGAGGTGGTAGGTGTGGAGAAAGATAGTGGAGGTAGTAGGTGAGTGGTAAATTCTAACAGCCCCCCGCAAACTCAAGGAGGATAGAAACTAACATTTAATATAAGCAAATAATTCCATGGTTCAACAGAAGTAAAATGAAACATTAAATATTTTAAAACATAAATACCAACAAACAACAATATTTTATTATAGACAAATAATTCAAGGTTCACATAAACATAAACATCTAGCTCATAAATCACGAACATTTGAAAATAGCAAAGAAATCGAAGTGTCTAACAAGATAAGCATAGAGAAGGAGAAGAAATCGAGGAGATGAAGAAGAATAATGACAATTGTTAGTTTGGTCGAATAGAAAGCTTTATCCAACCAACGCCTTTGTATAATTAGGGCTCAAAAAGTGTTGGGTTGCAATGTATATTTAGGGGTTTAAATCCTTGTATCCACATGTAAACAAAATAAATAAATAAATAAAAATGAGATTAAGTGACATCAAGGGATGTAATTGTAATAAACAAATATTTTAAAAGAAGCACACAAGTCATGCGTCTTGAGCCTAAGCCTAAAGTGCATGCTTCATGAGCCTTTATGGGGCCTGTTTCACATCGCCTGGCTTGAGATATTTTGAAGCGCATTAATGACAATTGTTAGTTTGGTCGAATAGAAAGCTTTATCCAACCAACGCCTTTGTATAATTAGGGCTCAAAAAGTGTTGGGTTGCAATGTATGTTTAGGGGTTTAAATCCTTGTATCCACATATAAACAAAATAAATAAATAAATAAAAATGAGATTAAGTGACATCAACGGTTGTAATTGTAATAAACAAATATTTTAAAAGAAGCACACAAGTCATGCATCTTGAGCCTAAGCCTAAAGTGCATGCGCCTTTATGGGGCCTGTTTCACATCGCCCGGCTTGAGATATTCCGAAGCACATTAATTGTGCCTTGACAAGCCTTGGGCCTACGCATACACCTAAGCTCACCTTTAATAACACTGGGATACAATGAGTTGTCTGATTAGAGAAGGGGGTTTGGGTATCCAGAGGCTTGCTTTCTTTAATCAAGCCTTGTTTAAGAGGTGGTTGTGGAGATATGCTTGTAAAAAGGAGAGATTGGAGGAAGGTGGTGTCTTGCAAATTTGGAGGTGTGTGGGGGTGAGGAAGGGGGTTGGACTATTGAGGAGGCATCTGTCTTATGTAGTGTGGGTCTATTGAAAGGCATCATAAGGGGGTGGGATATTTTCTCATGTCATATTCAGTATTCAGTTTGGGGTTGGCATTAGGGATCCAGTGAAGTTGTGGCGCCACTGTTGGTGTAGTGTGGAGAAGTTGGAAATGGCCTATCCTAATGTTGCCTGGGTTGCTATCGATAGGGACGCTTTTGTGAGTGTGACTACTTGGAATTGGATAGTGATCGTGCCTTTTGGGATTTGGCCCTTTGAAGAGATCTCAATGTCTGGGAGATGGATGAGTTGCTGGACCTCTTGTAAGATAAGAAGTTTTGAATATAACTGAAATATATTCCTTCTTCCTCATATTTTTCGGAGTTCTTCTTCTTCATATTTTCTAAGTTTTGTAATAAACAAATATTTTAAAAGAAGCACACAAGTCATGCGTCTTGAGCCTAAGCCTAAAGTGCATGCGCCTTTATGGGGCCTGTTTCACATCGCCCGGCTTGAGATATTCCGAAGCACATTAATTGTGCCTTGACAAGCCTTGGGCCTACGCATACACCTAAGCTCACCTTTAATAACACTGGGATACAATGAGTTGTCTGATTAGAGAAGGGGGTTTGGGTATCCAGAGGCTTGTTTTCTTTAATCAAGCCTTGTTTAAGAGGTGGTTGTGGAGATATGCTTGTAAAAAGGAGAGATTGGAGGTAGGTGGTGTCTTGCAAATTTGGAGGTGTGTGGGGGTGAGGAAGGGGGTTGGACTATTGAGGAGGCATCTGTCTTATGTAGTTTGCGTCTATTGAAAGGCATCATAAGGGGGTGGGATATTTTCTCATGTCATATTCAGTATTCAGTTTGGGGTTGGCATTAGGGATCCAGTGAAGTTGTGGCGCCACTGTTGGTGTAGTGTGATGTTGCCTGGGTTGCTATTGATAGGGATGCTTTTGTGAGTGTGGCTACTTGGAATTGGATAGTGATCGTGCCTTTTGGGATGTGGCCCTTTGAAGAGATCTCAATGTCTGGGAGATGGATGAGTTGCTGGACCTCTTGTTCCAATTGTATGCTACTCACTTGTCGAAAACCGACAAACGATTGAAAAATGGGTATTAAATTTTACTATTTGAAATTGGATTTTGACGAATTTTTTATCGTTGGAAAAGCTCTTTGAAAATGCTAGACTAGCATGGGCCATTTTTTAAAATTTTAAAGTTTTTAACATAAAATGATAAGCAGAATACAGTATCCTTTTTCAGACTTGTGCAAGGTCAAGGGAGAATAGAAGGAATTGAACCCTAAATGTCCAATCCAATGTCACGGCCCGATATTTGAAGGATCCGAACTCACATGGAATAATAGTTTTGAGATTGATTATAGAGAATATAATTAGTATTTAGGAAATTAAAGGAAACTGGTTAGGATCAAGAGAAGTAATGAACAAGTCTCAAAATAGAGAGCTTTCCGTCAATGCATTCATTCAACTCATGAGATTACAAAAGTCAGATGCATCCTATATTCTGTATGTGAATCACTACATTTGGATATTAACATTTAAGTTCAAGAAAGCATGCCCTAAAGAAGGGGTTTCAACCCTAATACATAACAAGCTCTTGGCTTTACAAGAAATAAATATAAAGTGAGCTTCTCGCTCTAAAAATCCTCTAGCCATCATCTCGGCGGAGGCACTCCATCAATATCTGAAAATGGTTTTCCACATACAGATGAGCACTAAGCCCAATAAAGATAATCTTAAATAAATATATTAGCATTGAGTACACATATGACCATGGATGCCAATGCACATGTCGTTTCATGATAAAACGATTTCAGAAGCATAAGATTTTCCAAACAATTTTCAATCCTTTGACTTTCATAATTCAAAAGAATACTTATCAATTCGAACACACGGTGGATCCTTAGGTAAGTATATGCCAGTAGTCTGTCTAAGAACTACCAAAAACCACCCCCATTTTACTGGTTATTAATTGGAAGGAAATTGGTACCTACTCCGCACTGGTTTTTGGTCTTTCACCAAGGACCCCAAGCCAACTTAAATAATCAACACTTCAAGATCATTTTATACACTACCCGAATTCACCCACCATTATTCAATAATTTTTAATAATCACACATTTCTATAAACATGGCAAAATCATGAATTGTTCAATGCATAATGCCAATGGTAAAATGAGATGCTCAATGCATGATTTTCCAAATGGTTTCAATCCTCCTAAATCATCAATGAATTCTACAACACAACAATGCAATTCTCCAATGATTGTCACGAACAATTATCTCTAAATGTATCTCAATTCAATATAATCTCAAGAATATCTTCAATTCGTCAAGGTAGCACTAATTCTACATTTCTCAATTTTCACATTTCTAGGGTTTCGTAAAGTTTAGGGCTTTTTTCCATTTTGAAAGAGATTTGACAAATTCATGCACAATATTTATTGAAATGGAATTTTTAAGAAAATAACATTATACATAAAAGTCCTAATTTTTTATCCAATAATTATACAAAAATTCTCTACATTTTCAGTAATCTCATAACTAATCAAACTACCACATATAATACTCAAAATCTAATTTATAGAGATAAGAGGATTCCTACCTCAAGTTTGAAGAGAAGGAGAAAGAATCTTGAAAACCCAAAGTGCTCCAAATGAAAATCAAGCTTGGTGTAGTCGAAGCCCTCAATGCAAATACTTGAGTTTTTCTCAAACTCTATCTCCAAGTAGGGTGGATCTAAGGTTTTGTGTGTTAGGTATAAGAAATCTAGAGAGAGAAGAGAGTTCTCGGGGATAGATATATATATATATATAGAGAGAGAGAGAGAGAGTAAAGAGAAAATAGAGAGGAGAAGTGTGTTGAGAGAAATATCCAAGGCCTATATATAGGACAAGCATAAAATTAGCTTTGGCCCCACAAATCTGACTGAAATTGCAGCTTTTTACGCACTGAAGTCGAACTGGTTGCTTGAGTGACGAAAGCTTTGCTCAACAAAGAATGAATCCTTGCAGGATCTCAATTTCTGGAGAACAGGCCGCTCGAGCGACGAAAGCTTCACTCGAGCGGAGAATTGATGCTTGCAGGATCTCAATTTTTGAAAATCAGAGCTGTACAGGTGGACTGGTTGCTCGAGCGAGCCATGCTGACAGCTTTGGTGCCCTTCAAACAGACATAACTCTTTCGTTCAGACTCCTTTTTGGGCAGTTCTTGTGTTTAAATCGAAACCCCGGAAATAAGCTTTCCAATGGTTCTAACCTCACACCAAGAATCAAAATGTGGAGAGAGAAAAGGATAAAAGAGTGAAGACTATTCAATAACAATTATCCAAATCGGGGGGTTTTGGTCCAATCTTGCCCAACCATCAAGATAACACATCAATTAAAGCTTTAAACATTTACAAGAAGTTTCCAATTATAATAATAAAAAGGTCAAATACAAACCTATCATCTCAAAGAGCCTGAAACGTTACATCCAATATGATCCAAATTGGTTAAGCTTTGTTAGGGATGTTAGGATGGGCAAAGGTCAGTCTCGGTGCATTCACTTCCGGGTTAGAGCTGTCAAATCGGAAGTTCATGATCACTCTTGAGTTCATCATAGGGCAGCGTTTCCCAAGCAGGGCCAAGGATTATAGATAGTCAAAATGGGACATCTACAATGTGTAGGGTGGATCAGATGCCACACATCATTAATGCTAAAACCATGAGTATCACGGGTCTATATAATAGTGTCGTCTCTCTATCAATGTGGGGAGGGATAGCAGCTGGCATTTCGTGCTTCAAGTCCTACAGCTCCACAGAGTTTGAACAAGGTCATTTCCAGCCGCCCTAGGGAACAATGCCAGATAATTTTGCATCTCATCCAAGGCCTGAGTCATAAATGACCCTTTCACCTATACTTTCAGCAATAGGGCTGCTAGGTGTCCTCAATGCAGTTCTTAATATATGATCTCACATATGTGCGAAGTTTCATCAGTTTCTGCCAGGCCCATGAGCAATCACCTGGTATATTTATATACCACAGAGCATCCTTCAGTAATTATAATCTCTGCCATTTCACTCCTAGGGTACATTTTTGGTGATGTTGATGGAATTTTATTCTATAGCAGCAACTTTTTGTTTTGAATGATGTATATATAGCTCAGTAGCTAAACTAATTTTCGTGGGTTGTCTCCAAATGACTTGATGCATGGGATTGGTTTCTTGGAATAACAACTTCTTGTATGTCCATCCATTACTATGGTGCCTTCCATTGTATGTATTTTCTACCAATTTTACTTGTGCATGTATCTTGTTTGTAGTAATAATTTAGTTGGGTAACAAATTGTTAGATTGCCAAATATTGCAAATGCTTGAGCTGTTAACAAAAACGGCCCAACAATGTCTATCAATCTCATTGGAGAACTGAACCAAGAATTCTCTTTCTTCATCATCGATAGTTGAGCTTTTTCTTTTTCCCAATTATCGCGAGACCCATTTTTTTTTATTGTGGATGTTAGAATTTACCATTCACACTCACCTACTACACTCCACTACTCACACTCACCTACTACACACTCACCTACTACACTCCACTACTCACCACCTACTACCCAAACCCTCTCCTATATAATGCCACTCTGATTTGTAATACAAAATAACAATCTTGTAATCAATAATCAATAATACACACACTCACCTACTACACACTCACCTACTACACTCCACTACTCCTCACCTACTACCCAAACCCTCTCCTATATAATGCCACTCTGATTTGTAATACAAAATAACAATCTTGTAATCAATAATCAATAATACACACACTCACCTACTACACACTCACCTACTACACTCCACTACTCCTCACCTACTACCCAAACCCTCTCCTATATAATGCCACTCTGATTTGTAATACAAAATAACAATCTTGTAATCAATAATCAATAATACACACACTCACCTACTACACACTCACCTACTACACTCCACTACTCCTCACCTACTACCCAAACCCTCTCCTATATAATGCCACTCTGATTTGTAATACAAAATAACAATCTTGTAATCAATAATCAATAATACACACACTCACCTACTACACACTCACCTACTACACTCCACTACTCCTCACCTACTACCCAAACCCTCTCCTATATAATGCCACTCTGATTTGTAATACAAAATAACAATCTTGTAATCAATAATCAATAATACACACACTCACCTACTACACACTCACCTACTACACTCCACTACTCCTCACCTACTACCCAAACCCTCTCCTATATAATGCCACTCTGATTTGTAATACAAAATAACAATCTTGTAATCATGGTTTCTTGGAATAACAACTTCTTGTATGTCCATCCATTACTATGGTGCCTTCCATTGTATGTATTTTCTACCAATTTTACTTGTGCATATATCTTGTTCGTAGTAATAATTTAGTTGGGTAACAAATTGTTAGATTGCCAAATATTGCAAATGCTTGAGCTGTTAACAAAAACGGCCCAACAATGTATATCAATCTCATTGGAGAACTGAACCAAGAATTCTCTTTCTTCATCATCGATAGTTGAGCTTTTTCTTTTTCCCAATTATCGCGAGACCCATTTTTTTTTGTTGTGGATGAAGAAATGCATGACTGGTTTGTGGTAAGTGTACAAGAACCAGAACTTATACTCAACAAGAATAGCAGGCATAATTGAACTTCGTCTTTAGATAGAAAAGAACACTCTGGAGATGGAGCGTATATTGAATAACTTTTGATGGGAACCAGTGTTGCTTAAACGGAGAAAAAGTTGAGATCCATGTGTACGTCTCTATATGCAAGAATGATTATGTATTGTCTTCATGCATATTTCCAGATTCACCTTGGGTAGATCTGTCCGTTTGGGAGATACATTATGAATAGGGAAATTATGAAGCATGTACGGGAACTGAAACTCGAATGCGGTTCTTACTGTAAAACTTCATTGAAATAATGATATTGAAGTAGGAAACTTAATTATAAATTAAACATTTTTAATGATTCCTTGTGAAATCAACTTATTGTTGCATTATATGTCTGGCATGTGAATTATATTTTTGAGCACTTTGTTCAGTAGGTTCCTATTTGACCACTATGTCATTTCTGCGGAGTTGCACGCAAACTAACATGAATTTTACTTTGGCCAAAAGTGTAATTTTTATTTTTATTTTTATTTTTATTTATTTATTTTTTTTGTGATGTCCTGAATTGCAGATCTATGCTGTTGGATCAGCATATAATAATGGAATTCATCTCTTAGACTTCTTTCCAAACCCCAGCTCTGCCTGTCATGTCGACTATGAGTAAGAAACTCCGAATAGCTGTCTGTTTTTTCCAGGATTCAGTTGTGAATTATGATATTTTGCTGATTGGTTACAAGACATACTTGATTTAAATCTAGTTCTCCATTTATCCATGTGATTTCACCAGTTTTTTTGGAATTAGTTTCTCTTTCATGGTTTTGCTTTCAAGCCGACTAACATACTTGTTGGGTCTGTTTAGCAAAGTTCATATGAAATTTATCCAAATTTTCATTTCTGCTTGTGGTTAATGCTTACTCATTTTTATTACTTCAGCGAGGATACACAGCGTGATCCTAGGGAAAACAGTCGGCATAAGCAAAATAGGTTTGTTCCGTTGTCTGAAGGTGTTACAGCATGTGCGACTCATCCACTCAACGGTACCATTGTAGCTGGAACTAAGGTTTGTTTATTTTGAAAATTAACTTTAATAAATATACATGCGCGCATACGCATACGCACACAGGCAGATATGTATCGCACAATATGTGATATGTATCGTACCATATGAAAAAATAAATAAATAAATAAGTATCATGGACTAGAATCGTTGGTGACTTGAATGAAGAGATACGTTTCTCTGTCATTTGATTTCATCTCGTATCACACTATTAATTTTTACATTCTTCTTCACCTTCGGCTCCGTTAGCTACTTTCTCGCCATCAATTACCGTAGTTGCACTCATTCAACAGCTATGAAGAATGGGTATTTCGACAAACATGTTGTACCCGTATTAGGTACTTCGGCGTAAGGTACTTTTGCATACATAACGGGTATACGGAAAACATATTCAACTTTTTTCTTCTTAATTTTTGGCGTACCCAGATGTACCTAGTACATACCCAAGTCGTACTGTACCTTAGTCGAAATAATATTTTCTTCTACTAGAAAGATAAAATTCCTTTTAGTAGATTTTTTTTATATTTATTTTTAGTTTTATGCCATAGATTCTTTAAAATAAATCAAATACCTGTGTCGGACACCCGACACTCGGATAAGGGTATGGGATGTGTCCGATACTTTTCAACGGGCACTTCTTGTATAATTGTATATAACACTATTATTATATGTACGTATTGTTGTATAATTGCTATAAATGTCTTTTTGACACTATGAGTTACATATATCACCATTTTATCTCACTTACTTAATTAAAAATATAAAAATATGATATTTTTTCTATTGAGTCCGCACTCTTAAATTTATGATTTTATGAATCTGACCTCTAGATGCATACCCGCACCCGATACCCATATCCGAGTCCATGTAACATAGTGCTTAGCAATTAAGCTATGATTTGTAAGTTATTTAATATAATGACATTTAATTTTTGTTTATACCTTTACTTTTGACATTAAATGTAATTGTAGGTTAGATCTTAACAAATTATACTCTTTAATCAATTTTTGTATTACTCCAAATTAAAAATAAATATTTTTTTGCAAACGTACAAAGTTATACCCGTACCTTTTTTTTTTTTGGATTTTATTGTATCGACGTACTCGTATCGTACTAGTACCAATATCAACACTCATACACGTACCCATGCTTCAGAGTTCAACAGTCATGAACAATATTATCAAAAAAATCTCATAATAAAGAGATCTAAATTCAAATAAACTAGCAAGAAAAAATAACTTCCATACTTTTGCTAAAAAAATTTAAACTACAATCATGAATTTAATTTGATTGAATTTATGTATATCTTGTTATCATTTTGTTTTTTTGGGGGACATTATCTTATTATCAATTTGGTTATTAGTTATATGATTTAGTAGTTTATTTTTTGCAAGATATTTATATATTTTATGAAAATATTTTTTATTATTATCTATATTTATATGTTAACGTATTGTACTATATACGATACATGATACATAAAAATGTATTGCGATTTGACAACATTGCTAATGGCTTAGTGACTTAATATGTGAGTGATTGAATTTCAAGCGAGAGATATGATATGAATCTTTGTTTGGTAAAAGTCCGAGAGAGATGAGGCAAGAATCTTGTTACCAAAGGGGGCTTTGATAGTATTCAAGCTGAAATTCTTGTGTTAGGTATTAATAATTTTTAATTACAAAAAAATAAAAGTATGCATTAAATGAATATGATGGAAAGACTTTTTTACTTTTGAGTGGTATCACACTTATTTACACAAGATGGCTGCTTTTTTTTTTTGTTTGGACACGTATTTCTACTATAGGCTTTGTTTGTTTGGGCAAAATATATTTTTTGAAAAATGTTTTCTATATTTTTTGGTAGTACAATGAAAAGCGAAAGTGTTTTTTGTGTTTTGTATGGAACGACTATTAGATCGGCGATGTTGTATGGGACGGAGTGTTGGGCATTCAAGAAACATGTAGATAAGATGAGTGTGGCTGAGATGAGGATGTTAAGGTGAATGTATGGCAAGACTAGACAAAACAGAATTAGGAATGAGTATTCGGGAATGGGTAGGAGTAGCACCGATAGAAGATAAGTTGAGAGAGAATTGATTGAGGTGGTTTGATCATATTTAACGGAGATCAACAGAAGCAGTAATGAAGAGATACGATATAGTGACGGCAGATAGAAGTGTTAGGGGACTAGGTAGGTCTAGATTAACATTGGCTAGCGTTGTAAATAGAGATATGAATCTACTTAATTTGACTAATGAAATGGCCTTTAATAGAGTCGCGTGGAGAAGAATGATTCATATAGCCAACCCCATTTGATGAGACTTGTGGCTTAGTTTAGTTTGGTTTACAATGAAAAACAAAAGTCAATAGAAAATATTTTTCATGGTCAACAGAGAAAAAAAAAACCTTATATGGGCAAAAAATGTTTTCTGCTTTTAAAAAGCGGAAAATATTTTTCGGATTAAAGTTTTACCAATGTCACTACACTACCACTGTCACTCTTCCACCACCACACCACCATCACCACGGCCACTGCCACCATCACCATCGCCGCCAACCCACCACCATGCCACCACCTGCACCTTCTCCTTCGTTTTACCCCCACCACCAAACATAAAAAAAATGTTTAATCTAGAAAACATTTTCTGGAATAAAAAATCTGTAGAAAATGTTGTCATTTGAATTTTTTTTTTTTTAACAGAACGTAAAAAATCAACTTTTTAAGAGCATGCAATTGCATAAAGTATCCATGGCATCTTGTTTAGAACTTTTAATCAGGGAGAAAAGAGCAAACAATGCTTTCAAAACAAAAACAATATCAGAAACACTATCTCATCTAAGTTAATTCATTTTGTCGCATAATGCTTGTCTACTATCAGTAGCTCTAATGGTTGATTTCTTTCAGCAATCATCGTTGCTGGTGGTTTCTCAAAAACACTGGTCAGTAGAGGCAGAGACAACCGTGTGAGGAATGATGAAGACTATTGGAAGCTCTGGACACAAATTCATTGCATCAGTTGAGGAAACATGCCCAATGACATCCGAGAATCAAGAACTACTAGAGGATTTCCGATCGGCACTTTCATGGAAATACAAGTGCGCACTGCGAGGTGCATAGGCTCTAAATCAATTAGTGCAATTGGAGTTGAGCATTCATGCCTAGAATAAAGGTTTAAATTCTTTTGGCAGAATCGGGAAATTCTGAGGGATTTAATGAGCTAATGTTCTTATGTTGTACAAGGGCTGGTGGCAAGATACTGTTTTGTAATATGTGGTTTAAGTTACCTGTGTATTTAAATGAATGTAACTCATAGGTCTTCAATGAAATCAAATATATATAGTTATTTTTATATGAAATTGCCATGACTTGAGTGTTGGAAATTGTGATTTTCATAGGCTTATTTTGGGTTACCTTTGAGTCCAAATTTGAGTGAGGCTCACACGTCTTTTGAGGCGGATCTAAAGAGGTGACGTGTTCTTTGCCACGTAGCGAGTCACACGGTGAAGACGGTTTGTCAAAATCATTTATGAGTGAATGGGAAGTTAACGTCATTTTCGGGTTCTTGAAATGAGAAATTGTAAAGTCAAATGTGGATTTCTTTAAATTAGTTGTCCCACATTGAAACTTTAAGAGAGCTAGTGTGAGTATATAAGCTCTAAGTGGACATACTTGGGTTTGGTCCCAAGGCGTATGCTAAGTTTTGTAAGGAGTTATGGACAAAGTGGGCTTGGTCCAAAATCACCATACGCATGCGTCATCGCCGTCCGTCTGACTGGGTCAAGTCCTAACTTTAATTTTTAGACAATTTTTTTTTTTTCTTTTCCTCAAATTCTTGCGAGAAAATTTGAAATCCTAATTTCAAAATTCAAACATTTGTGCCAATTTCAAAATTCAAACCCGAACAGTGGCATCCCTTCCTTCTCCGGTCACCTCTCTTCACTCTAGTAGTTTTCAGGTTCGCACTTGTTCGGAGGGCTTCTAAACCCATCCGAACAGTCACCATCTTGCCTATAAATTCAAACCTTCTCTAGCCAATACTCATTAATTTTTCTCCATTTTCTCTATATTATTCTTCTGCATATCGTTCTTATATTTCTGTAAGAGAGAGACACAACTCAGACTGTTCATCAAGCCCTGATTGTAGTGTTGCAATTTTGGGTTATAGTCGTTGCATCCTGAGAGGTCGGCATCATCTGTTCTCGAGCATTGTAGCGAGGACATAACGATCTTAAGGAAAGCGTGTCCAACACACGCCTTGGTTGTCTTTCATTTCTGCATTTCTATACAGCAATAATCTGTAAGTTTTTTTTATATATATATTTAAATTAATTCAAGTATTAATTCAGTGTGTGTTCTTATTCTAGTTTTATACTTGAACAAGAAATTTCTTTCCTTCTTTCGTTTTTCAGAAATAATTCTTTTTTGGATTTTGGGAAATAAAGTTTACATTCCGAAATTGATTTTAGAATTTTATTTCTGGTCGTGTTTTAATTTTAAATACACACAGTTTGTAATATTTTATATATAATTTTCCTACAGCTTAAGATCGTTAGTATTTTGTTTTGCTTTGTATGTATTTATTTCATTTCTGAAAATTGTGATTTTCAGAAAAAATGGCAACGGATAGTGGTGAGACTATTTCGACCTTAACCCTAACAATCTCAGTACCACTGCCAGTGACTCCTACAGTGCCAATAAACCATGGAGAGAAACCGAAAAAATTCAACAGAACAGAGTTTAAGAGATGGCAGCAAAAAATGCTATTTTATCTTACAACTTTGCATTTGGCCCAGTACATTTGTGAAGAGGCCCTGAAATAGACAGAGGGGGAGGACATTGATCGTCAACTTGTTGCTGCAATAGATGCCTAGAAGCAAGGTGACTTTCTATGTCGAAATTATATACTAAACGGATTTGATAATTCTTTATACAATGTATAGTGTAAAGAAGACGGCTAAAGAACTTTGGAAATCTCTTGAATTGAAGTACAAAACTGAAGATGTCGGTGCAAAGAAATTTGTTATCGGAGGCTTTCTGAATTTTAAAATGTAGATTCTAAAGCGGTGGTTGGCCAAGTCCAAGAAATTCATTTGATCATACATGACATCATTTCCGAAGCAATGATTCTGAGTGAATCATTTCAAGTTATTGTTATTATTGAGAAACTTCCGCCAGCATGGAAAGACTTCAAAAATTACCTTAAGCACAAACGCAAGGAAATGAAGTTGGAAGAACTTATCATGCAACTGAGGATTGAAGAGGACAACCGGAAATCCGAAAAGAAGTCTGGGAACCAAGTCATGCAGGCTAAGGCAAATGTTGTGGAACAAGGATAAAGTTCGAGGTTCAATAACAAAAAGAGAAAGCATGATGGCAAAGGGTCCAGGCAAGGCTTCAACGGTGAGAACAACAAAAGATTCAAAGGCAAGTGCTATGTGTGTTGTGGTGATGGATATCGAGCAAAAGATTGTCGAAGCTGCAAAGGTGAAGCAAGTTCTAGTAAGAAACCGGCACAAGCCAACATAACCGAGGGTTACAATCTTTCTAAGGGATTGGCAGACATCAACCTTTCTACAGTAGTCTCTGAGGCTAACTTGGTGGGAAACCCTAAAGAATAGTAGGTGGATACTGAAGCAACTCGCCATATTTGTGTCGATAAGAAAATGTTCACAACCTACAAAGTGGTGGAAAATGGCGATCAACTATTCATAGGAAACTCCCCCACATCAATTGTAGAAGGACAAGGGAAGATAGTGCTAAAGATGACCTTGGGGAAGGAACTCACTCTCAACAATGTACTCCATGTTTCAGAAATTTACAAAAATTTAATTTTTGGGTCATTGCTAATTAAGAACAGGTTTAGGCTAGTATTTGAATATGAAAATTTTGTACTTACTAAGACTGGGATGTATGTAGGCTGTGGGTATATGACCGATGGGCTTTTTAAGCTCAATGTGTTAACTGTTGTACCAATTATTACTTATAATAATAAGAACACATCTTTCGCTTATATTGTTGATTTTTCTCATTTATGGTATGGTAGATTAGGACATGTAAATTATGGTTATTTGCGTAGACTTGTTAATTTAGATTGTTTACCTAAATTTAATCTTGATCTTAATCATAAATGTGAAGTATGTGTTAAAGTTAAAATAACTAGAGTATCATTTAATAAAATTGAAAGAAGTACTGAACCACCGGCTTTAATTCACACCAACATTGGTAATTTAAAATTTGTGCAAACTAGAGGTGGTAAAATATACTATACAACTTTTATTAATGATTGCATTAGATATTGTTATGTATACTTATTGCGAAGTAAAGATGAGATTTTAGAAGCTTTTAAGCAATATAAGATAGAAGTTGAAAATCAACTTGGAAAAAAGATTAAGGTTGTGAGAAGTGATAGAGGCGGTGAATATGATACACCATTTAATGAGTTTTGCTCAGAAGTTGGTATCATTCACCAAACCACTGCACCTTATTCTCCTCAATCAAACGGAGTGGCTGAAAGGAAAAATCACACTCTTAAAGAGATGATGAATGCAATGTTGATATGTTCAGGTTTACCCTAGAACTTGTGGAAGGAAGGCTATTTTATCAGCAAATTATATCCTAAATAGGATACTTCACAAGAAAAATAACAAAACACCTTATGAATTATGGAAAGGTCATCGACCTTTTTATAACTACTTAAAAGTGTGGGGATGCTTGGCAAAAGTGGCGGTCCCTAGTCCTAAAAAGACTAAAATTGGACCAAGAACCGTTGATTGTGTATTCATTGGCAATGCAAATATTAGTAGTGCATATCAATTTTTGGTATTTAAATCAAGTATTCTCGATATACAGCCAAATACTATTATCGAGTCAAGAAATGCATCATTCTTCGAACATATCTTTCCTTGGAAAAGGAAGAAAAAAATCAAATTCCTATAGATACAGAGATAATGGCTGAACAAGCCCAATCATCTGAATTGGAAGAGTAAAGTTCTAATAAACGAACTTTTAATGACGCCATGGAAAGTGGCAAAGACCAACAAGAAGATGAGCCTAGATGTGGAAAGAGACTAAGGACATCTAAGTCTTTTGGTCCAAACTTTATAACTTTTCTGTTAGAAAATGAGCCTCAAAGCTTTAAAGAAGCAATGTCAGGTCTTGAAGCACCATTATGGAAAGAGGCTATAAATGGCGAAGTTAAGTTCATTCTACAAAATCATAATTGGGAATTGGTTGATCTTCCTCCAGGGTGCAAACCACTTGGCTACAAGTGGATTTTCAAAATGAAAATGAAAACAGATGGGTCAATCGATAAATACAAGGCTCGCCTTTTAGTTAAGGGGTATAGACAAAAGGAAGATCTTGACTACTTTGACACTTATTCGCCTGTAACAAGAATAACATATATTCGTATGTTGATTGCTATAGCAGCATTGCATAATCTTGAAATACATGAGATGGATGTTAAGACCGCCTTTCTAAATGAAGATTTAAATAAAGAAATCTATATGGAACAACCCGAGAAATTCAAAGTTCCTGGCCAAGAGAAGAAGGTTTACAGACTTGTCAAATTCTTATATGGATTAAAGCAAGCACTGAAATAATGGCATGAGAAATTTGATCATACTATGATTTCAGATGGGTTTAGAATAAACGAGTATGACAAATGTGTCTATGTCAAAAGTATTGACAAAGGTTGTGTCATCATTTGTCTCTATGTAGATGATATACTCATCATTGGTAGCAATATTGAAATGATAAAGACTACCAAAAAATTATTAAACAAAAGGTTTGACATGAAAGATTTGGGAGTAGCAAATGTCATACTTGGAATTAAAATTTCTAAAACATTTGATGGGTATGCCTTGTCTTAGTCTCACTATATTCAGAAAATTTTGGGAAAATTTGGAAAGCAAGACAACCGTCCTGCTAAGACACCCATAGACGCTAATGCTTATTTATTAAAGAATACAGGAGAAAGCATATCACAAGTAGAATATTCCCAAATAATTGGGAGCTTGATGTACTTAATGAATTGCACATGGCCTAACATAGGCTTTGTAGTCAGCAAATTAAGTAGGTACACAAGCAACCTAGTGAAGGATCATTGGACAGCTTTAATCAAGGTGCTTAGATATCTAGGACATACCCAAAATTATGGATTGCATTATATAAAATATCTAGCAGTACTTGAAGGGTACAGTGATGCGAATTGGATATCAGAAACCAATGACTCAAAGTCCGCTAGTGGATATGTCTTTACTCTGGGAGGCGCGACCATCTCATGGAAATCCTCCAAGTAAAGTAGCTTCGAAATTTCCTAGAAGATATTTCAATGTGGCCAAAGCTCGTGCCAGCTATATTCATACACTGTGACAGTGAAACAGCAATAGGATGGACACATAATCATATGTATAATGGCAAGTCTCGACACATTCGTCAACGACATAATACCGTTAGGCAATTGCTCTCAAATGGTATAATTACCATTGACTATATAAGGTCTAAAGATAACATTACGGATCCGTTAACGAAAGGGCTAGATAGAGACCAAGTGTTTAGTTTATCGAGGGAAATAGGATTAAAGCCTATTAACTAAGAATCTCCATAATGGTAACCCAACCTAGAAGGTTGGAGATCCCAAGAACTAGGTTCAATGGGATAACTAAATTATGGAGATTCCCCAATCACTAGAGAGGTTCTCTCTCTTACCCATTTTCTATGATAAGAAGAGTGATCCCTGCAGTGTAGTCAAGGTAAGCTTTGCTTTTAATGATTCTTATATCTTGGTTATCCAAGTGGAGTGTGGCAAGACATTCTTAATGAGAATTGCCTATGTAAGTGTGAACTGGGTCGGTTTTATGAAATTAAAAAGGCTGAATCCTCTAAAGCACTCACTGAACTAGGTATTGTTCAGGGCCAAAATGAACACAACTGTAGAACAAGATTGTGTTTAGTAATACTTTGTGTGTAATCTATTGTCTCGGCTTACACCAACGACTGACTAGTTCAAGACATCACATCTACTGGATAGCTGGGCAACTAGTAAGTCTGATAGGTTTTCACTAGAGGAGATTCAAAGCCAAAAGCTACATATCCCGAAGCAGGGTATCTCCTTAATGTACTCTCGTATTTTTTTCATCTTGTTGCATGTTCGTTTCTGTCAACTCCATTCATGTGGGGGATTGTTGGAAATTGTGATTTTCATAGGCTTATTTTGGGCCACCTTTGAGCCCAAATTTGACTGGGACTCACACGTCTTTTGGGATGAATTCAAAGAGGTGATGTGTTCTTTGCCACGTGGCAAGTCACATGGTAAAGACGGTTCATCAAAACCATTTATGAGTGAATGGGAAGTTGAGGTTGATTTTGAGTTCGTGAAATGAGAAGTTGAAAAATCAAATATAAGTTTCCTTAAATTGGTTGTTCTACATTAAAACTTTAAGAAAGTTAGTGTGAGTATACAAGCTTTAGGTGGACATATTTGGGTTAGGCCCCAAGGGCATCCCAAGTTTTGTGAGGGGGGTTATGGACAAAGTGGGCTTGGCCCAGAACCACAACACACGCGTGCACGCCACCGCCGTCCGTCTGACTGGGTGAGGTCCTAACTTTAATTTTTTAGACAATTTGTTTGAAATTTTTTTTTTTCCCTCAAATTCTTGTGGGAAAATTTGAAATCATAATGAAAAAATTCAAACGTTTGCGCCAATTTCAAAAATTCAAACTTGAACAGTGACATCCCTTTCTTCTTCAATCACCTCTCTTCACTCCGGCAATTTTCAGGTTTGCACTTGTTCGAAGGGCTTTCAAATCCATCCGAACCATCACTATCTTACCTATAAATTCAAACTTTCTCCAACCAATTCTCATTTGTTTTTCTCCATGCTCTTTGTATTACTCTTCTGCATATTGTTCTTTTATTTCCATAAAAGAGAGATACAACTTAATCTATTCGCCAAGCTTAAATTGTACTACAATTCTGGAATATAGTCGTTATATCCTAGGAGGTCAACATCATCTATTTTCAAACACTGTTGCAAGGACGCAAAAATCTTAAAAAAAAGGTGTCCAACACACATCTTGATTGTCTTTCATTTCTACATTTTTATACAACAATAATCTGTAAAAAAAAAATTATTTAAATTAATTGAATGTGTTATTGTTTTAGTTTTATACTCAAACAAGAAATTTCTTTCATTTTTCAAAAACAATCGTTTCTAAGGTTTGAAAAATCAAGTCCACATTCTAAAAGTGATTTTAAAATTTCATTTCCAATCTTATTTTAATTTTAAATACACAGTTTGCAATATTTAATATATAATTTTCGTTGACCATCCCCACTTGGTTCTTTTTCCCATTAAATCATACAGAGAGAGATTATATGAATGCTGAGAAACCAGAGATGGATTTTTCACTGCTTTCTACAAGTATTTTTTAGCTTTTACCTAAAGCAAAGCCAATTTTCCACCTCGGGTAGTGTGGTCTTCACAAGTCTAAATGGGTTCTGGTACATAGTTTTTCTAGTTTAGCTTGAGAATCATGCATCTGCCCTTTTTCTGATTCAAAATTGTTGATAAGAGAATTTGCTCATATGGACTTGACAGGTGACTCACTCAACACACGTAAGGCCCTGGTCCCAAATTGTCAGTGTTTAATATTGAACTTGTCAACACATTAATAAAGCCTGTATTTGACAAGTAGGTTTACAAGTTCTTTTTGACTATTTTAGTCACAAAAAACAAAATAAACTATTTTAACCATAACAAACAAAACATCACATCCAATCCATAATCATTACATTCTTCTCTCACAAAAAAACTCAAAAAAATCAAAAAGCCAAAAAACCCTTCCCAAATCAAGCTTTTAAACCCAGGCTAAAATAGCCAAAAAACTAAAAAACCAACCCACTTCCCAAACCAAGCCAAAATAAATTTGATCACACATACTTTCAATATAATGCCAACAATTAAACTATGATATCAAATAATAAAATAAAATAATAATAATAATAAATAGTAAGCCCATTGCACCAATGTTTAGCTAAAGTCATACAATAAATGCAACCATGTAATGTCTACATCTTTCAAAAAATAATACCATATTTCTGTAGACCAATGTATAACATAAACCACATTCAAAAAAAAAAAATCAATGTTAAAGCAACTAAAATAACTGCCAAATTGGAGAAAATGTTCACTAGATTTCGTCAGGTTGACATAACATGAATGACCAAGCATGAAAGATAAATCAATTACAAAAACAGCTACACGAAGAGAAGGATCTCTACTACAATTGCACTGAATGAAAAGATATTTCTAAGCCCTCTCGCCACGAATTCTGCGAGCAAGCTGCATGTCCTTGGGCATGATGGTAACACGCTTGGCATGAATAGCGCAAAGGTTAGTATCCTCAAAGAGGCCGACGAGGTAAGCTTCAGCGGCTTCCTGGAGGGCGGCGACGGCGGAGCTCTGGAAACGAAGGTCAGTCTTGAAGTCCTGAGCGATCTCCCTCACCAACCTCTGGAATGGAAGCTTCCGGATCAAAAGCTCCGTGCTCTTCTGGTACTTTCGGATCTCCCTTAGCGCCACCGTCCCAGGCCTGAATCTGTGGGGCTTCTTCACTCCTCCGGTCGCCGGCGCCGACTTCCGTGCCGCCTTCGTCGCCAGCTGCTTCCTCGGCGCCTTCCCACCGGTCGATTTCCTCGCCGTCTGCTTCGTTCTTGCCATCACTTCAAAGTGTATGATTGATTTTTAGAGAAAGAGAGAGAGAGAGAGAAAAAACTTAGTGCGGTTGCTGCTGTAGTGAGTGTGATGTTTGGGATTGGTTGATTTCGAAGACATTTATAGCTGCAGAGCTGAGAGGTGTTCAGGGCGGCAAGTTTGAAATTTTGGGGGAATATGAAAGGAAAATACGGGAGTACTACTTTTGCGGTTGATTGGGGATGTGACAGTGAACGGTGGAGATTCGTTTGGAGTTTGGGTGTCACGGACTGGGATCCGTGTGCTATGTTAAAGCAACCAATAGGGTTCAAAGTAAAATGTTTTCCTTTGGGAACAAGTTCTGGCCGTTGGATTACTTAGACGTCAACGATCAAGATACTTGGGAAGTTGAAGTGCCAGTGCCACGGATTACGATCCCTGAATGGAGGGAACGGTCCAATGGGATTTTAGGCCTAGTTTGTGAAGATTAAATAAGTGTATTTTTTTACTTTTTATGAAATATGGGTTGGGTTTGGGTTGGGTTTGAAGTGATGTGTTAGAGAGGTGATGTGACTTAAATAAGATGATGTGACTTAAATAGGATAGTGAGTTTTTGATTTTTTGTCTTTTTTCAATCATGCCAAACTTGGCCTTAGTTTGTTAAGGGATTGTTTCAGATGTACTTAGGCCTCGTTTGGAAACTGACTATTTTAGTCAAAAAGTTAACTAAAACTAGTCACATCACCTCTCTATTTTTCTCTACATCTTTTCGTAAAAAGTTAAAAAATTACTAAAATAATCTATTCCCAAATGAGGCCTTAGATTAGTATATTTTTTTATTTTTTGAAATAATGTAGTAGAAAAGTGATGTGATCTAAATAAAATAATTGTGACATAAATAGAATAATGTGTTAAAATAACATGTGTTATTTTAGTACATATGAAACAAAAACTAAGGGCATGTTTGTTTGAACAGACTGGATTAAGTTTGATTAGCATTCCTATGACTAATAGTCTTAAGTCTACAAATCCCTTTAATTGTGTATCATATTAAGTTAGGATTATAAGAAAGGATTAACAAAATATTATTCAATCTGATATTTGTTTAAAAGGATTGAAATGGATGAGACATGATAGGACATGACATGAAACATCCAATATATTGACCATAATACCCCTGCTATAATTATTGTAAAATTTTGCACTAGCATGTGTTATAATTTTTAAAAAGCAAATTTCCCTATTGTTGCTCCACATTCATTTCGATTCTTTTGAACAAAATTTAACATATTTTCTTTTTTTATAGAAAAAATCAAAAATCATTCAATTATAAAATTTATACATACATAAAAGTAACCATTAAAGAAAATACACTACTATTTTAATCATCTAACCATTCAATTCCCAAATTCAAAAAAGTATTTATTTGAACAAAATTTAACCCTCATTTTTTTTTAATAGAAAAAATCAAAAATCATTCAATTATAAAATTTATATATACACAAGCAACCATTAAAAAATATGCACCGCTATTTTAATAATTCATTACCCAAATTCAAAAAAGTATTCATTTGAACAAAATTTAACCCCTTTTTTTTTAACAGAAAACATCAAAAATCATTTCACTATAAAATTTATATACACAAGCAACTATTAAAAAATATACACTACAATTTTAATCCTCCAACCATTCACTACCCAAATTCCAAAAGACATTCATTTGAACAAAATTTAAACTTTTTTTTTTTTGGAACAAAAATATACCAAAAATCATTCAACTATGAAATATAGCTATTTTGAAAAATAATGATATCAGAAAATATAGAAAACGGAGCAAATATATTTATGAAAAGATGCATACAACCAATTGTAGACATGTTGAATTAAAAGTCTAGGGTGGTAATTAATGATTACTACCATTCATAATTGTTAGACTTATTTATTTTCATAATTTATTTAATTATGTTTTAATTCATTTGAAAGAGAAAAATAGAATCTAAAATTTGTTTTGATGATTTATTTAATTATATTTTAATCAAAATTTATTTTGATGATTTATTTGAAAAAGAAAAATAGAATCATAATTTATTTTGATGATTCATTTGAAAGAGAAAAATAAAATCAAAATTTATTTTATCCCATTATTTCTCACCCAAACCTTTATCCTAAATGTTGTTAGAATGTATTTAATATTTGATGAAATCAAGAGTTCAAACAGCCCAAAACATAGGTTCAAATAGTCTAACACAATAGCAGGCCAAAAGGTTCAAAAGGTTTAAGTGAAAGATATTCAAATTTGTAATAATGGAGTGGAAGATATTCAAATTGGTAATGATGGAAGTACAACGGCTATAAACGGCTATAAATTCAAATGAATACAACAGCTATAAATGGTTATAATTTTCATTATATATACCAAAGCCTCTAATGTAAACAAGTTACAAAAAAACCTAAAAATATTCTTTGATCTATAATCACTCACATCTTTTCTCAGAAATTATACACTGAGCCTTATAGCTTTAAGCTTATCTTTCTTGTGTGAAATTTACAGAAAAATCAAAATTTCATTTTATATATCTATCTTTGAGAGATATTTATTGTAAGCTTTCTTTGAAAGCAAAAATACCATTTCATCTTGTAAAAGTGTTGCAAACACTGTGTTCTTGAAATATTGAGAGTGATTGTGAATCACGTAAGATTTGCAAGGGTTTAGGCTTGTGAAGTCTGTGTAAAATCCGTGGAAGCATTAATGCCTATAATGGTAAGGTGAGTTTGGCTCCTCCATTTTGAGAATAGATCTAATTAATGTTTATAATGGTAAGGTGAGTTTGAGATGAGCATGATGGGGGAACTAAATTATTTCCTTAGGCTTCAAATCAAACAATATAAGGAATGAATTTTTATCAACCAAGCTAAGTACACAAAAGAACTATTCAAAAAGTTTGGTATGTATGACTCAAAAATAGCTGGAACACCTATGAGCACATCCATTAAGCTAGACAAAGATGAAAAAGGTAAGTCCATTGATCAAACAAAATATCGAGGTATGATCGGCTCGCTTCTTTATTTAACTGCAAGTAGACCCGATATTATGTTTAGTGTTTGTATGTGTGCTAGATATCAATCAAATCCTAATGAATCACATCTCAGTGCTGTTAAAAGAATTTTTAGATATCTTGTTGGCACTCAAAATTTGGGACTGTCTAATTCTAGAGATATTGCATTTGATTTAATTAGTTACTCGGATGCCGACTTTGCCAGATGCAAACTTGATAGAAAAAGCACCAGTGGCACTTGTCACTTTCTTGGTAACTCATTAGTATCTTGGTTTAGTAAAAAGCAAAATTCTGTTGCTCTATCAACAGCCGAAGCTGAATATATAGCTTCCGGAAGTTGTTGTGCCCAAATACTTTGGATGAAACAACAATTGGAGGATTTTGATTTGCATTATGATCATATTCCTATTAAATATGATAATGCTAGTGCCATCAATTTAAACAAAAATCCGGTTCAACATTCATGAACAAAACATATTGAAATTCGACATCATTTTTTAAGAGATCATGTTCAAAAAGGGGATATTGTACTTGAATTTGTAAACACCGACAAGCAATTGGCGGATATTTTCACAAAACCCCTAAGCGAGGATCGTTTCAATTTTATTTATGGCGAGCTTGGAATGTCGATTTCTACTTAAAAAGTTTTGTTATGATTGTAAAACTTGAATTTTTGTTAAAATGATATATGTGTATTGCTACATTGATATGGAAACATTTATATCAGTTGAATGCTCTCAAGTCCTTCATACATTTATTCTCCTTAACAGTTTGTTATTCTCAACTGAGTAATTTTTTTTGGGTTCTGCATCTTGAGGTAAAATTAACTTTGCATACATTGATTTTTTTTAAACCCTCATGGTTTTTTTTTTACATTACCTGTGATACCCCTGTTTCGTAATGTCCTAATTGGTCCTTAATATGAATGTGATTATGTGTTTTGATATGATTGTGTGCACCATTATGTGAAAATATGTGGTTTTGAATTTCTATCTGTTCACCGTAGGAATATTGGTTTGATTATCTGCTTTGGAAATTAAATTGAGGGCCTTATCGGCCATAAAACCTGAAATTGATCACGCCATTGAGTTTGGCATAATTTTTAGAACTTACGGTAAAATTTAATTGAAAACTGATTCGGGTCAAATTAATCAGATTTAATTAATGATTTAATGCTCAACTGTTTATGTTAAAATATGTATGTGAGTGGGGCTATACTATAAGCCTTATAAAGTTCAATTCTCTCATTTTACATGACTTTGGCTGATCAACTCTAAGAGAAAAGGAGAGGGTCGGCTGTTAGAGAGAGAGAGGAAGAGAATTGTGTAAATTTTGACTTTTAAGCTTTGAGATTTGAAGTCTAGTTCAAGAATTAACCATAGATTGGGCTTCTAGGTAAGCATTGATTCTTGAATTCATGAATTTAATGTGTGATCTTGTGTGTTCAAGGGTTGTTTGTAACCAAGAGCATGAGTTAAGTTAGTTTTGTTGGAATTAAAGCTTGATATATACATGCATGTAAGGACTTGTTTTGAATTAGCATGTATGAGCTTTAAATACATTATTCATGTAGAGTTTTGGGTTAGAACTCATGTTTTGATCACCATTTGTGTTATCTAAGTTGAGAGTGTGGCTAATTCATCACATGCATGTACAATTTATGGCAATAGGAGCTTTGAATGCATGAAGGTATATGTTGGAGTTGAGTTTAGTGTCAATTTGGGACATGCATGTGGTTAATTCATGAAATTGAACTCCATGATGATGTGTTTTGGTGTTTATATCATGTTAGTACAAATACATGTGAAATTTGAGCCATGTTATGCAAGAAATGTAGTTGGAATGGTTGAAGGGAGCTTAAGAACACGATATGGAATTTTCAGAATTTTAGTGTCCGCTCGAGCGGGTAAACCGCCGCTCGAGCGTAAATTTCGTGCTCCCAGCACTTTTTGCAAAGTTGGATGTCCGCTCGAGCGGGATATTTCATGCTCGAGCGGGGAGCTTTTTCAAATAGGCCTTTCGCTCGAGCTCCCTAATTCACGCTCGAGCGTAATTTTGAGGTA